GGAGGTTGCTATGAGCTGAGATGCCACAGCACTCTACCCAGGGGGAAAGCTTGAGGCTCCTGTCTCAAAAAAAAAAAAAAAAAGAAAGAAAAAGAAAAAAGCTATATATCAATGATCCTGCAATAACATTAACATTTCGTATACTACAAAAATAATTTGTGTGAACAAAAATGTTTAACAAGAGAGGACCGTACTTATCAATTTTAAATGACTGCCATTTAAAACACACTAAGTATTAAAATGTAATGCTTTCTCAGGAAATCAGTGGTATCAATCATAAGTGGTAGGGTTTAACCTAAACTGAGTTCTGAAATTACACATAAATTTTCTCTCTATCCATACCTACATATCTTCTACAGAGAGGATCTATGGTTTTTATGTTAGATTCTCTCTCATGGCTCTTATAGTCCGTAAAAAAGTTAACAATCTGGGGTGGCGCCTGTGGCTCAATGGGGTAGGGCGCCAGCCCCATATGCCAGAGGTGGTGGGTTCAAAGCCAGGCTGGCCAAAAACTGCAAAAAAAAAGTCAACAATCTGTTAAAGGAACTTTCTAGATGGCAAAACATGTCATCAGTTTAGGAAAGGGAGCACAGCAACAACTCACCATTTCGATTTTGCTCATGTTGATCCTTTTCCTGATGTGGATTCTGTGGCTGCCCTATGCTGACAGGTGGGTGATGTCCAAGGCCGTAAGGGATAGGAGACCCCCGTCCATGCGTCTGTAATAGGTTCATATTATAGGCCATCGCTGCCTGATGTGTAATAATTCGAGGATCAACTGCAAACCTACCCTGGTATCCTGTCCATGGTACCTAAGGTTATCACAAGGAATAAAATAATTGCATTAGGGATGGTTTGGAAGGCAAACTGCTATAGCGTGGTTGATTAGAAAAAACCAAACACACAGAGAAAGGAGTAACTACAAGGTTGATACCAAAAGTACAATTGGCAGAATTATTACTATGCATTAACTGGCAAAAAAAAAACCCAAAAAAAAAAACCCTCAATCTTTAGTATGTGAGAGAAAATGAATCATTTTCAAGGTTAGAAAGAAACAACTATTCCTTAAGGCATGAAATCATTTTGTAGTCTTTAATCATTTCCCCTCAGTATTAATGTATACACGCTATAGATTACCATAAAAATTATCTTTTTAAGTCATAACTGCATAATTATTTACATAATTTAATAGACTCAATAAGAGAACAGGGGAAAAGTTAAGAAAGAATTTAGCCTCAAAAAATAGGTATTCCAACTTGATATGAGTAAGCAAATCATTTAACATTCATTTATTATAGATAAAATTCAAACGGGTCATTACTTTAATTAATGTTTTAGATTAATTCAATTCTACCTTACAACACAGAAACAGAAAACTTGTATAGGTGTGTCTAGATATATAATCGCTGCATATTAACATAAAAGGAATAAAAACAATGACATATCAGCCACTGTTACTATTATCATAATGTAACTGTTAAATTCAGACTTTGAGAAATCTGATAAAATAAGGGCCCCTTTGACCTAGTAAAGTGAAATATAAATATCCTAAGGGACTTACTATTTAAAGCAGATGATGCGTAATGTTGCCAGGCTGTCTGGGAAGAAATAACTCAGCTAATGTCTACTGTCTAAAGTTTATGGGGAACAGGCAGGAATTACATATTTCTTACTGACAGTCATTCCCTTTGGCTGCCATGATGTGAACTATCATGACCAACGTGACTAAGAAATGTTTGCAGTTTGAGCATTTTTCCATTTTGAGGTGTGGGTAGGGATGCCACCTACACCTCAAAGATCTGTGGCCATGGTCACCTTTGCCTACAATTAGAGTAAGTGCCTCAAATGAATAAAATTTTTTCCTAGGATAAAATTCCTGAGTAAGAAATATTCATATATCAGCAAATTAGCAAAATATTCCAAAATCTTAAAGGAAATAAAAATGAGTTTATATAGAAGATGGAAGCCTTCTAAAAATCTATAGTCTTAGAGAGGATTCAGCAATGTTTTTAAGTAGCAGTAAGATTTCTTAAGGCAGGAAATTTCTCTGATAAATTTAGATCACAGAGAACTAGACTAATCCAAGCTTCTTTGCCTCCTCAATCAACTATTTCTCGAGAAGCGTCTGTGACTTATGCAAAAATAAAAAGTAAAAGCTAAAAACATCACTTTACAAAACAAGAGACCAATTTACTAGCTCTGTTAACTTCTAGCCCAATTTTCCTCAGTAAAATATTTTAGAATCCTAAGGGCCAAGGGGATGGGGGCGCAGGTGGGGTGGCGGCTCATGCTCCTAATTCTAGCACTCCGGGAGGCCAAAGCAGGTGAATCCCTGAACTTAGTAGGAGTTTGAAGACCAGCCTGAACAAGAATGAGACCCCATCTCTACTAAAAACAGAACAATTATCTGGGCATAGTAATAGGCACCTGTATTCCCACCTGCTCAGGAGGCTGAGGCAGGAGAATCACTTGAACCCAGGAGTTTGAGGGTACAGTGAACGATGATGATGCCACTATAACAGAGTGAGACCCTGTCTGATAAAATAAAAATAAAAAAGGAAGACGAAGACCACCAAAGGCTTCTAAATCTCCAATTTATAGATGTTTAAATTGTTACTGATAAGCTGGTAGCAAATCTTAAACAGAAATTCACACTTTGTTCATTTCAAATTTAAAGGTTAAAGATAAGAGTTACTTTAGAAGAAGCTTAGGGGCAAAAAAAAAAAAAAAGACTGGTAGAGTATTATTTGGGATTGTCATCAATTTAGTGAAGCCTATTTTACTTTATTTAATAGAAAGTATCTCAAATGTCCACTTACAGGTAAAGGCACCGACATAACTACATTCCCTCCATAGACAGCAGGTACATAAAGAATACTTGTCCCAGTATGAGGATCTATTCTTTGAACAGGGCTTGGAGATTTTCCCAAGTTTGGGTGAGGTCCAAGAGGGGGTGGAGGAGTATATGCTCTAATAGGATTGCCAATAAGTACGGAAGGATTGGGCTGAACTGAAAAATAAACAGAAAAAGGATGCACTCAGTAGCTGTACATATTCACCTAGGCAACATAACTTAAATCATTCTGTAGCAAAATCTATTTCCCAGGTTTTCCATATGATAGCTTATAATCAAAGAATTGTCAATGTGGAAGAGTAAAGTGTATTAAAAAACATAACTATTTTATAATATCCCCTACAATTAACTTGAGCTATACCAAGTATTCCTTTTATAAACTGGCATGATTGTAAACTGTCTTTTGAGGAGCTGGAGATGGGTCTTTCCATAAAGAAAACCATGCACACAATCTTAGTAACTAGTCTTCTAAGACCAAGAAAACATACACAATTCTTCAGAATAAAGTTTTGACCTACAATTGTAACACAACAACTATAAAATGAAGATTAAGTAATTATGACTTTAAAAGCATAATTCTGCAACATGTAAAATCATTTAAATAAACATAATCTTGAAACCTGTATGGCTAGACATTTGTAGCATGTATGTTCTAAAAACTTACATTGTATATAGGGCTCAAATGTTTTTCCACAGAACTTTAGGATATGGGCTTGGTGCCCGTAGCTCAGTGGTTAGGGCTCCAGCCACATAACACAGGAGCTGGCGGGTTTGAACCTGGCCTGGGCCTGCTAAACAACAATGACAACTGCAACAAAAAAATAGCTGGATGCCTATAGTCCCAGCCACTTGGGAGGCTGAGGCAAGAGAATCGCTTAAGCCCAAGAGTTTGAGGTTGCTGTGAGCTGTGACATTATAATGCACTCTACTGAGGGTGACATAGTAAGATTCTGTTTCCAAAAGAAACAAACCATAAGGTATGTACATTAGTACATACAAAATCATCCCTTTTCAGAAATAACGTATCAGTGTATCAACATGACCAGATGTGTTGAATGAAAGAATTGAGGTTCCAAGGTCACTGCCCGTGTGTGTGTGTGTGTGTGTGTGTGTGAGAAAGAGAGAGAGAGAGAGAGAGAGAGAGAGATACCATTATATCCCTCTCCTTTTCTTTCTCAAAGTGAAATTTGGGGTAAATCTTTTCCATTATAAATACTAGTTTTGATAGGGTTAATTTTACCACTTACCAATTCCATCATTCTGAAAATGATCATTCTGGGTATGATGGAGGCCTTTCCCCTTTAAAGAAAAATAAAAATACATTTTAATAATTTAAAAATGTTTGTAATATACAGAACAATAACCATTCTCCTAATCATATGCAAATTAATGTATACACCAACAACTGAAATTTTAAAACTGAGTCTATAATTAACAACTATTAGACTGCTTTAAGCCAACTTTCTTTTTAAATGTTAGGTCATGGCCATCTCGAATAATAATTGCTGGGCCTCAAGTTTTCTCAGTTTTAAATTAAGGGCATCTAAAATTTTTTTTTTTAATGAACGTTTTTATAAAAAGAAATATGCAATCCATGTGACTGAAACCTGAATTCTACTCCTTTGTAGCTTCTCTGTAAATTTTCTAAGAATTATATGACAAAACATAAAAGTTGTTTTTTAAAGGAAAAAACATCAAGGCGGCGCCTGTGGCTCAGTGAGTAGGGTGCCGGCCCCATATACCAAGGGTGGCGGGTTCAAACACAGCCCTGGCCAAACTGCAACAAAAAAAATAGCTGGGTGTTGTGGCGGGTGCCTGTTGTCCCAGCTACTCGGGAGGCTGAGGCAAGAGAATTGCCTAAGCCCAAAAGCTAGAGGTTGCTGTGAGGTGTAACCCCACAGCACTCTACTAAATGTGACAAAGTGAGACTCTGTCTCTGGAAAAAAAAAAGGAAGAAAAGAAAAGAATGTCAATCTTCACTTGAAGATGAGAACCTTTTAAAGATGTTTGGGATTTATGATATTTTGAGTATAATTTGTGGTATAAATTTACTAAAAACCAACAAGAAAATAGGCACTGTCATAATTCAGTTGAGAGGTAATCTAGCTAATTGCCAGGTAGCAAGATGGCAATATATATCAAGAGCATCAAAAACATACATACTTTAACCCAATGATATACTTCTGGGAGTTTATCCAAATATAGTAATCATGGATCCCCACACAGATGTCAGTCACATGTTTACATGTGTAACAGATGTAACAGTCTAAATGTCCATCAGTGCAGCATTTATTAAATAAGCAATGTCAAATTCATATAACGGTATATTAGTCTACCCCTTAAAGTAATAACTTTGAGCAGAAGCAATATTTGAACAGACAATGGTTCTAAATTTCTGGACTTTAGAAAAAATTCTTTCCCTAACCACTGGCAAATGTAACACATATCAAGCCGACAGAGGAAAAGCAGCCCATCAGGATATATTTGTACATTATATCTCGTAACTAAACAGGGGGTTTCTACAGCAGGAAGAATAATTCAATCTTGACCAAAGCAAAACTACGATGAAGTTTCATTTATCTACTTTTTTAACTATCAGAAACATCAAATATTCGGTTCAGCAGTAAACACGGAAGGTTTAAGGTCAACTGAGTGGGAAGGGTACCAGGATCTAACTCTTAAGTCAGAAAAAACAGCCACAAAAGGATCATAGTTGGTCCCTTAACCAAAAGAGAAAAAATGCTCACAGTGGTTGGTACCAGCCACAAAAGCAAACTTCAGAGGATTAGAGAAGTGATAAGAAACGTAGGCTGAAAAAAAGGAGAAAAGTGAAAGGGAGAAAATGGCAAACATCCAGATGGCAGAGGTAAGGGGAAAGTCAGAAGCAGAAGCAATTAGAAGTGACAACAAGAGCAGCCAGTGGCACGCACACTGACACAAAACAGGAGAGCCAGTGACACATAGAAAAGATAAGATATTTCCAAAAGGGTGACAAGCCATTCAGACTTCTGATCCTCCACACCTATCTCTGGTCCTTGCTAAGGACCCATTGACCAGGGATGATCGTAGAACATGGAGAGAAGACCCAGCAATTCAGTCACTGTGGTGCAGAGTGGCCCTCCAAAAGATGTTCACACCCCAACCCCGATCCTACGAATATGTCGTGTTACGAGGCAACAGGAACTCTGCAAATATTATTAACATTACAAATTTCAAATAGGAAGGTTATCTTGGATCACGTGGGTGAGCCCAGTCTAATCACATGAGCCCTAAAAGCAGAGAAATTTCTCTGGTGGAATCAGAGAGACAAAGCAGACAGGGAATTAACAGAGATCCTGAGGAAGAAAAGGATTCAAGGTTCCAGTGTTGGCTTTGAGATGTGATGGACACATTTAAGAACTGGTGAGGGCTCCAGAAGTGAAGAATGACGCCCTGTTGATAGCCAGCAAGGGAACAAATGACATCAGTCCTACAACCATCAGGAACTAGTTTCTGCCAACAACCTGCATGAACTTGGAAGGAAGTTCTTCCCAGAGGCTCCAGACCAGGACCCCGTCAGTCAATGTGAAATCCAGAGCAGGGAAACCAACCGAGCCAACCCAGACATCTGACCCACAGAACTGTGAGATAATAAATTTCTATTGTTTTAAGTCTCTACGTTTGTGCTAATTCATTATGGCAGTAATAGGAAACAAAGACAAGGAGCAACCATAGTCTAGGGCAGTGGTTCTCAACCTTCCTAAGGCCGCGAACCTTTAATACAGTTCCTATGGGTCATGACCCACAGGTTGAGAACTGCTGGTCTAGGGTAATCCTATGCTGTAAAGCTGGAAGCATGCTTAGACAATACACAAAATCTAAAAAAGCAAATAAGGCCTATCATGTAAAAAGAAAGCAGCATGTCTGTAAGCATTCTATATGGTTCAAGGATAGGATACAATCCTTAAGCATACTGTATTTTGACTTCCCAGGTAACTACAGACTAGCAAATTTACTTGATTTATGTAAGATATGCAGTGTTTGGTAGCTTATAAACAAAATAATGCAGCAGTAAGCTAGAGCTAACCATATATAAAAGTCACTTCATAATAATAATTCCAAACCAATTTCATTCTGCTAATAAATCTCAGAAAGTAGTATATCTTTGGTAGAATGCTAACTAATGCCAAGATTTTATAAACAAATGTAGTTTACATCATCTACTACGTATTCATTCAAATGTTTACTTTTTCATTCACTCATTCATTTTTATCCATTTATTTATTCTACAAATATTTACCAAGGGCTGACCATATGTCCACCCTGGCCGGGCACGGAAGCTACTGAGGTAAATCAGACAGACACAGTTTCTGATGACTAGACAGTGAGACACAACAGCAGCAGCCAGATACAGAAGGTAAAAACCACGTAACAAACTAAACTCTACAAAATCATGCTGCCGTCTTCAGAGGGTCTGTTTTAATAAAACCCATCCTCTGAGTAGTTTTTATAGCATGTGCAAATGAAAGTGGTCTATTATGGTACAATTTCCAAACACTGCTCTCAGCAAATGCCCTGGGAGTCACAGAACAAGACAGGCAAATTGTTTTTCTACGTGCTACATGTGTGGGCTCACATGAAATACGCCATTTGCTAGAAATGATGCCTAGAGAAGGGGAGACAATTCAGGTCCGCGAGGACTACCTGCTCCTGGATCCCCTGATACTCTGTACCTTGGCTAAACCTTTTCACAAGACTGACCTCTTAGTGAGGACAATAAAGTTCTTTGGCTGCTCGGGGTATGTTTTGTTGCCAATTACAGTCCTGAAAAAGCAGATCTCAGAGTATCTGTAACCATCATTTAGCCTTCTAATGATTTTATCCACATGGAATCTTACTGGGATTTTAAGTCTTTTTCTAACATTAAGGATACCTATTTTAATATTACTTGTATCCAGAACTGTGTTAACACTGAGGAAACTTGGTAACAATTGTATGGCTTAGCATCACATTATGAAGAGACATAATCCCTTCCTACTCAGGAGATGAATTCCCTTTCATCAAAAGATGCTAACTGCAGGCGGCACCTGTGGCTCAAAGGAGTCGGGCACAGGTCCCATATACTGGAGGTGGCGGGTTCAAACCCAAGCCCTGGCCAAAAACTAAAAAGAAAAAAAAAAGATGCTAACTGGAATTTGTTTCAAAATTCTCCACTGTATATGTAGTCATGGTGGGGTAGGATATAAACAAAACCAATTAATCTTAATGATGGGGATTGAATCATTACTCTCTCTACTTATGTACCTTTTTGAAATTTTCTATAATAGAAAGTGAAATTTTAAAAGACTCCAGTATAAATTCAAACCTTACAAAACAATTTAATGGAAGCAAAATATAATGCTGAGGGAGGAGGGAGATATGGTAACAAGATATACCTTACTTAAAATTACTGATTTTTATATCACATGTATAAATAATCAATACTTTTAAATAACCAGGCACATTGACAATTTGGTGACCAACTAACATTTGTGACATTGAAAATAACAGAGGGCATCTATAAGATCAGTGAAGAAATTTTTCTTAAAAGTTTAAAAAAAAAAATTTGAGGGGAGTCGGCTGCTTGGCCTTTAATTACAACAATCTTCTCATTGAAATAAAAAAGCCACAATACACTCTACTGGATGCACCACAACCATTATTCATTATTAATTTACTGAGCACCACTATGTGTTAGCCACTAGGGGTCATAAAAAGTATACAGAATAGGACTTTTGTCCTTTGAGCTTCACTCATTCATTTAAAAAATGCACAGTGGCTCACACCTATAATCCTAACACTCTAGGAGGCCAAGGCAGGTGGATCCCTTGAGCTCAAATGCAAAACCAGCCTGGGCAAGAGCGAGACCTTGTCTCTACTAAAAAAAAAAGAAAAATGAGCTGGGCAGGCACTGGTAGTCCTACCTACTTGGGAGGCTGAGGCAGGAGGATCACTTGAACCTAAGACTGCTGTGAGCTGGACTCACTCTAGCCTAGGCAATAGCGTGAGACTTTGTCTCAAAGAAAAAAATTTTTTTTCTAAGCACCTATGATGAGCCAGATACTGCTCTAGGCATAGAGGTGAGAACAGTGAATAATACAGGCAAAAATCTCTGCCCTATTTGTGCTTAACTGCTAGTTTTGACTTGTTTACCAATCTCCCACTACCTCCATCCACTCAATAATCTCCTGAGCAAGATCTTCCAATTCATGGCAGAAACTATCTTGCATGCACCTTCTTCTGACCTTTTCCCCCGACCCTCTCAAAGCTGCAAGGTAATTTGCTTACCTACACTTCTTTAGCACCCACCATAACATCAGGCACATGGAAGAAATATAATTGTTTGATAAATAAATTAATTCTTTAATAGTTTAAGCTTTAGAAACCTAGAAGATTCTTTTTTTTTTTGAGACAGGAGCCTCAAGCTGTCCCCCTGGGTAGAGTGCCGTGGCATCTCAGCTCACAGCAACCTCCAACTCCTGGGCTCAAGCGAGTGCCTCTGCCTCCCAAGTATCTGGAACCACAGGCGCCCAGAACAACGCCTGGCTATTTTTTGGTTGCAGCCATCATTGTTGTTTGGTGGGCCCGGGCTAGATTCGAACCCACCACCTTGTGTGTACGTGGCTGGCGCCTTAGCCACTTGAGCCATAGGCGCCGAGCCATCCTAGAAGATTCTTTCATGCAGAATGCACAATCCCCTAAAAATGCCAAATTGTTAAAGCACTAAACTAAGAATATTCAACAGTATATTAACAAACAGTAATTCTCTTCTCAGCTTAATACCTATTTAGCTAAAAGATTTCCAAAATATTAAACCATGAATTATTGCTTACATATTAGGTTCTACATTTATTTATGTGAAACTCAAAACTGACCTACTCTTTTAATTTATGTCAGTAAATTTAATATCATGCTAATGACTATAAATACACAAAAACACTGGCACAAGCACCAAACATGTCATCCTCAGAATTTTGTTCAAGACAATAAAGGCAAGCATTTTCTTGGGCACTCTAGCAAATAAGCCAGCTGTCTCTGTCCAAAATAACTACAGTTCAAAAGTGGAAATGGCCTTGACTCCCCCCCGCCATTCCCTCTGACTGGACTCCTTCTGTACAACAAATACAAGTTGAAATCAATTTAAAGAATCTTTAAGAAATCAGCCAAAGTTTCTCCCTGCGTCAAATATCACTTCAAGTGAATCAATATTCCGTGAAGGACTGGAATTATTTTCTTTATACAAATATAATAACACTATTCCCTATAAAGGATAGGTGATAAGGACATGTTTTTAATAAGTGCAATCATCTGTTCAACTGCTTTGTTTTATTCACATCTCTATAAAACAAGTCTGTTAGCAGAGAGGACTAGGGGGTTAGATTCAAGGATACCAGAAGTTGTCAGGCACTTAAAAACTTTTTGAGAATGAGTATGACATTAAGCATGGCTAAACACCACATTATGTTTTCACTTACATGTCCAAATCTAACAAGTTCCTTGCAGAAACTGCTTGTCGCCAAATGTAACCTTCAATTCCAATACTTAAAGAAACTTGCAGCCCAATAAACCTTTGGCACTTCTGCGCTGTTCTCTCCCTTTAACCTCTTCAATGTCATTAACAGAGGCTTTACCTTTGGTGGTGATTGCTGCGGTTTGTTGGTACTCCCTGAATGCTGCAGTCTTAGAGCCCGGGGGATAAATTCAGGTGCCAGTGGATTCAGCACGTATGTCTTCTTTAGTTCTAAAGCCTCTAACTGGGCCTTGATCTGTTCAAAAGTGATTCCATGTAGACTATTGTTTTCATGACACAGGGCAATAAACCGCTCCCAAAATTTCCTACAGAAAAGATTTAGAAGATGAGTTTACATTTCAGTGGATGCAATCACAGAACATAAATAACTAAAGATAATTCAAATTTCCCCCCACCACCCCACAAAATCCTTAAATCCAATAGTTTCCTGACTATGATGGAGGTATAATCTACCAGATCTCAAGACCTTGGAAGTTTCATTCTGAAACTACAGTCATGTCTAGTCTTACAGTACATACAAAACAGGCTCTCAATTAATTTTGGCTCATTGATGCAAGTAATATGGTCAATGTTCAACTATCATGCTAATCCAGAGTGATGTTTTTGTTATCCACATGAGTGCAGGTTTTAAAAACTGATGGCGACTTGTTTTATACAAAATGTATACTTCTAGGCATAGTCATATGTATATTCATAGAGTATACATGTACTATATGTAATTCAATAGAGTGTACATAGTTCAAATCATATAATTCAAATGAATTTATATATGCGTATGTATCTATGTATTTGAATTATAAAGGCCAAAGTAGCCTAGAGCTAGATGACCAAGATAAGGCAACTCAGAACACATTTTGAGTCACAAAGTGGGCGATCCTCACCAGATTCTTAAGTAATAATTATCTACTCCTCTATTTTTCTTTTATCTAACAGGTGATTATCACAAACATAGCTTATAACATTAATTTACTAAGTTTAAGGGTTAAATGAATGATGAAAATATAGGAAGTTGGGATACAAATTTTAATGTTGATTATTCATTTCCCAATCAATGTAATAAATATGAACGGAGAAAAAGACATTTAAAACCTGTTGCATTTGTATACTGTTTGATCCTAACAGTTTGAAAATTGACTGCCAAATACTAAAATTAATAAATACATATTATAAAAACAACATACTAGAAGTTTTTTAATTTTAAATGGCCATTATAAATATGCGTACCTATGTTTAATATGAGGTTCAAATAATGTTTTATTATGCTATAAAAGATATGTGATATGGTTTCTTCCCACGTTGGTATCCTTGTGTCCAGGTGGACAGCAGGTAATCAAGATGGCTTCAAGGAGCACAAATGGAAAGGTTTACATTATAGAAGTTAGTAAATGAATGGGAATTGGGTTATTAATATATTCATAAAACTTTGCAGGGCTGAATTTCAAACATATGCCTTGTACCATCTTTGCAGATGTTTTAAAGATGAGTTTTAGAAATGGGTGCACAAAAAACTTTAGACCTACAAGAAATGACAGGAAAGTGAAAGGGCTACAAACTATTAAATATGTATTTCTGACCATAAGATTACGGCTAAGAAGATGAGTCGTTCAGTTATAGGCAGTGTGTTGTCAAGAAATATACACGGAAAAGCTGTCCTTTATTTTTAAGAATCTGAAGAAACTAATTTTTTTTCTCATAGTAACAGGAGAAAATGTAAGGAAGGATCACCTTACACAGTACTCAGGCTCTAAAATCCATCACCTTTCCCACACTTTTAGTAAGAATAGCCACAACAGTCAATGGCATGAATATTTATCAATACAACTCTACTATATAGTCCATTCATAAGAAAGTTCTGAAGTCTAATGATAAAGTATCAGTTTCAGAGAGTGGCATTTCCTGTTTGCTTTGGACTTTTACTCTCTCTAGGTCAGTTGTTAATATCAACTCCTCATTACACATTTTCATTTTCAGCTTACACAGTCAAAATGCTAGAATTTGCTTTATTTTTAAGCTACTTTTTACAACTGCACACCTTGTTCCTACACTGCCCTCAATGGCCTCAGCAACATTAGACAGGATTTCAACTAGAACCTTCATACAACCTCACACTTCCCACGAAGCCAGTACAGGAAGATCTCAAAGACATAGCCTGTGAACTAAAGGACACCATTTTCAACGTAACACTAAACACTTACTGTAAGTTAATCAAGCTGAACTACTTCTGAACCTAAAATTTGCATGTTAGCAGTGACATCTTTTTATTGCCCCATTGATGCAGCCCCATTAAAATAGTCAAGAGCATAAATTCTAAAAAGTAGACTGAATACTGGGCTCTGCCACCTAGCAGCTATGTGACTTCATGCAAATCCCTTAAGCTCTCTTTATACCTCAGTTTTCTCATGGGTAAAGAGATGCACTAGCAGTACTATTATTATTTATTATGGAAAAGACTTTTATCGCTTCCAAACTTTTTTCTTTAAAGAGTCTTAGTTTTAAGCTAAAAATTTCCCTTTTTCTCACACTATAGGCTCTTTTGAAGACTATTCACATTGCCCTTGAACTCTGCATACTTACTATACATGACATTATGAGGAATTTCTGAATATGTGTAACTGGAAGAACACTTGAGAATTTCAACTACACCCAGAATCAGGGTTAAGTATTCAACACTATGATTAAAGGTGTCATCAATTCTTAGCCTTCTCGCTAAAATGTTAACATACTATTATGTTGGTACCATTTTTTTTAAAGTACTATTGGTTAGAAAACCCAAGTGTACCTCTACATTGTAATAGTAATTAGGTATTTCAAAGGACTTACAAGTAACCTTACTTTTAATCACTGCGTGAACACAAAGTTTGGTTTTGTTTTGACATTAACCTTGCTTCTAGGATCACTGATAAAACACTGAAAAATTACGTGGTATCCTTCGGTCATGCTCTGTTGTGTACATACACATATACACACATCTCTGTACATACACTTCACTGAGTAAATGAAATGTGCTAGTGAAGATAAGTCAACGAAAGAGAAAACCTTGACCAGGCACAGTGGCTCATGCCTGTAATCCTAGCACTCTGGGAGGCCCAGGCAGGTGGATTGCCTGAGCTCAGGAGTTCAAGACCAGCCTAAGCAAGAGCAAGACCCCATCTCTAAAAATAGCCAAGTGTTGTGGTGGCGCCTGTGGTCCCAGTTACTTGGGAGGCTGAGGCAAGAGGATACCTTGAGCTCAAGACTTTTTAGTTGCTGTGAGCTATGACACCACAGTACTCTACCAAGGGTGACAAAATGAGATTGTCTCCCCCAAAATAAATAAATAAACAAAGAGAAAACCTTCTCCAAACATGCTGGTTTGGGAAAATGTTATCATTCTCCTCCGGGCCTCCCCCCACTCAGCACAGGTTTCCCTGTGTACATCTGTCACTTCCTGGAAAAGACAGCACAGCCCAGAAAGAAGAGCGTAGGTTCTGAAGTCAATGTGACATCTGGTTGAGTGAACCGCATAATAGCTAGGTGACCCTGGACAGATATTTAGAGTCTCTGAATCAGGCTGCCCAGAATATGCAAATACAATACCCACAGTGCGGGACTGCTGGGATGACTGAAGAAGGCAGTGTGTGGAAAGTACACAACCCAGCACCCGGCGCAGAGAGAGCTGCCAGTAAACAGCAGCCAATGTATTCGTATTTACCAGTTTGCCAAGGGAGGAAGGGATGAGCTTACCACATTGGTTGGAGATGAATAGAAAAGTTCTGTTTAAAAACAGCTTACAACAGAAAAGAATACATGAATGATTGACTCCTAAACTGAGATAATACTGAGAAAGCTTCCATGACTGGCTCTATACAGTTAAAATTCCTATTAAATGGTGTAAGTCATAAGTAGATAATTATTCCTTGAAAACTTACAGAAATTTGGAACTATCACACTAGTTTTTTGATAAATGTCAAATGAAAAAAGCACGAGAAAAGTCCTAAAGAACTCAAACTATAAGGAATTCTTACAAAACCCAAGGATCATATTAAGTCCTCCAGGTTTACTTGTACTGTGAAATTACGTTAAATTCACATGAAGTAGTGAAATGGAAGTTTAAATATCCATATGCCAGAGCTACCAACTCTTGGACTAGAGCCATGATTAAACTGTCCAAATAAGCTGGGCACGGTGGCTTACACCTGAAATCCTGGCCCTTTGGGAAGGCCAAGGTGGGAAGATAATTTAAGGCCAGGAGTTCAAAACCAGCCTGGGCAAAACTATAAGGACCTCATTTCTACCCCAAAAAAGAAAATTAAATAAATTAAAAATAAACTGTCCAAATAAAATAATCAGCATTCCTACTTATGTATAATTGATTTTTTTCCTTAATACCATTTACTTCCCTCAAAATATTTTACTTACATAATTTGCAGTCTTTGACACACCCCAGCCATGTAATAAGAAACAAGCAATCGTCAGACTCAGCTTCAAATTAAAAATGAGGCTGGATAACTCTAACAGCCTGACCTCAGGAGGAATTAGTCACCTATTTCCTCTAAGAAAGTAAAGATTTATGTCGAGGAAAGGGTGAAGAATGCTGATCTCATGCAATTCACACTATAATATGACTAAATGGGAAGGCGTAGTGGTTTCTTTAAGAATATTCAGGTTGGTAAATATTTGGAGTTATTTTTAAGGAGAACCCCAAAATTATGTCTCAACACAGTCCTTATACCTGTTTATTCCCTCAGCGGTTTCTAGTTGCTTTTAATACATGTTATCCCATTTTATACATGTTTTAATATATTCAATTCTAATTAAATTGCACATGTTCTCACCTATCAAATGATAAATAATAAACAAAAATGGTAAAATACCACAGCAACATTCTATCTAACCAAATACACTTTCAGCAAATAGTAAAGTAACTAAAGTAAAACTCTCAGGGCATAAGCCAGATTAGTAAACTCCTTCATATACTCAGCTGTAGTCACTTGTAATATAGAATTAACACACTCCTCCCTCAAATTTTCTGTCTTTAGGGACTATAAACAAATGACAATCTATTTTCTAAGTATGAAATTAAAGACGTTACAACAAAATTGTTTATAGATAAATAAGTTATAGGCCATTCAAGTTTTTTTTTTAAAGAAAAGTTTATTTTTTATAATGGAAACACAAATTAAAATTCTGATTACTTTGTTATTAGAAAGTATAGCTTTCCCCTATAAAGGCTATTAACTGCACTTGGGGTCTCAAATTCTCTAATACATGAAGGTTATTCTTAAAGGTCTCAAACACAGTCTCTCTTCCCATAGAATTTTTTTCCCTGCTAAAATGTGAAAACCGACAATAAAATCTATACTGCAACAGAGAATTTGGTTTAAAGAATACTATATCCTAACAGTTCTGTCTACTTTAATTCTAACATCTCAAAAGAATAATAATTACCCAAGGCAGATTGGAAACTGTCTGCATTTCTTTCTACTATTCCGAATTCACTGTGACAGGCACTAGCATATTTATAAAATTGTAAGTAATCTCTAGCGTATTTCTTTCTTTTTCACAAAATAATATTATAAATTTATGTTCAACTGCTTTTCTTTTTTTAATGCTAACACCATTTTTTGATACTCAAAAGGCCAAAGCTTCCATTACTGGCTCTATACAGTTAAAATTCCTATTAACTGGTGTAAGTCATAAGTATATAAAGAGAAATTTCTTGTTTGGTTTGATATTTAACCACATTTTAGTAAAAATTGTTCCTTATACCTAAAGCCTAACAAACGCTAACAACGCTATCTAAAGCCAAGTGATGACTACTTCTAACCCCCTTAATTTTAAGAGCCTCTGGATTAACCCGATACAAAGAATTATCTACTTGAAAAGCCTGGAGAGAACATGACTCCAGAAGGAAATTCATCAAAAATCAGAACAAGGAAGGAAAAATCTGAGGCATCAAGTGATATAAAACGCAATACCCCTCAAAGACACACGCATTACACAAAAGCCCGCAGGACCCCTGCACTGTTTATTCCCTCTTCCTAGAGCACCTTCACCCCAGACACCTGCAGGGTCTATTCTATCACCTCACTTCCAAAGCCATTTTCTCAGTGAGGTCTAGTCTGACCAGACTACTTAGAATCACAAACCAATCCGTCCCTCATTGCTCCTAATTTCCCTTAATTACTTCATTTCCGTGTAAAATACTACATAATATCTTATTTAGTTTATTGAAGTCTTTTCTTCACCAATAAAACGTATGCCCAACCAATAAAATAAATGCCCCACCGGGGCAGAGATTTTTGTCTCCTTTGTTCACTGATGTATCTTCAGCGACTAGGAGAGTGCTTAGAAGACAGAAGGCACTCAGGAAACAGCTGCTGAATAATGGCTGAGTGAACGAGTACACACAGTCGCGCATATAATGAAGTGATCTAAAGTCATATACTTTTACTTTGGGGTTCCCTGTTTATTAAACCTGATTTTAATTAGCCAAGAGGTCACAGAAACAAAGCACACACAGGGATACAAATTACTTCACACTTCCCTCCTTGATGTCTCCATCTGTAACACATAATTACCTGCATCGTCCAACAGAGCACAGAGCAATGGGGTCGCCCACCACAGCAACCAGGGACTGTGCTCTCGTGATGGCAGTATTGAGAAGCTTGTAGTTAGACAAAAAACCATAATCTAAGTCCTCCGTGGAATCTTCCAGAAGTTGTTCTTTCTTTTTAATTGGAGTCTGTTTATGTTTACAAGTATGTCTTGTACGTACTGTGCTAAGAAACAAAACTCTGAATTGCTTTCCTATAAAAAAAAAAGTTTAAAAAAAGACTTAAGATTGTCATTTTGAACCACTGGTATAACAAAAGCATTGCATTTTTTTAAATGTAATTGATAAATAACAGATACTGGTGAGTATGTGGAGAAACTGAAACCCGTATGCATTGATAATAGGAATGAAAAACAATACAGCTGATGTGGAAAACTGTACCAGGTCCTCAGAAAATTAAACATGGAATGACCACATGACCCAATAATTCTACTCTTAGGTACATATCCAAAGGAAGTGAAAGCAGAGACTCAAACAGATACTGGTACACCCAAGTTCACTGCAGCGTTATGCACAATAGCCAAAAGGCAGAAGCAACCCACATCTCTCCATCTACAGAGAGATGAATGAATGAACAGAATGTGATGTATACATATGATGGACTGCTCAGCTTTCTAAAGGCATGAAATTCTGACACACGCTACAACACGGATGAACCTGGAAGATATTACGCTAATGGAATAACCCAGCCACAAAAGCACAAACACCATACAATTCCACTGGCCTGAGGTACCTAAAATGGTCAAATTCATAGAGACAATATAGAAGGGTGACTGCCAAGAGGGAAACGAGAATGGGGAATTACTGACTAATGGGTACTGAGTTTCAGTTTGGGAAGATGAAAAAAGTTCTAGAAGTAGATGGTGGTGATGGTTGCACAATAATGTCAAGGCAATTAATGACACAGAACTGCACACATAAAAATGGCTAAAATTTTAAATTTTATAATATATATAACCACAAAAAAATTTTTTTTTATGACAATTTTGCTGAAATTGCTGAAAACAACCTTAGAGATTATCTAGTCCCAAGTCCCACCCAATACAGGGAGACTTCCTTAAGGCAGAGTCATCGAGTCTCTGGCCAACCAGGGTAGACACAGCTGACTCCATAATGAGCCTTCTACAGAGTCCAGTTGGTGCAACGTTTTCCTTATGTTCTTCTTACAGTAACAAACCTATTCCCATACTCTATGACAAGTTTCCAAATACCTGAATATAGCATTAATGTCAATCCTTAAGTCTTTTTTTTTTTTTTTTGAGACAGAGCCTCAAGCTATCCCTCTGGGTAGATTGCCATGGCTTCACGCTCACCAGCAACTCCAACTCCTGGGCTCAAGAGAGTCTCTTGCCTCAGCCTCCCAAGTAGCTGGGACCACAGGTGCCCGCCACAACACCCGGCTATTTTTTGGTTGCAGCCGTCATCGTTGTTTGGCGAGTCTCGGGCTGGATTTGAACCCGCCACCTTAGGTACATGTGGCTGGCGCCTTAGCCACTTGAGCCATAGGTGCCGAGCCAGTCCTTAGTCTTCTCTAAGCCAAACAACCCTAGTTCTTTCAACCACTTCTGACTCGTTCATGGTAGTTTCTAGAGACCATTAACTATCATAGGTCTCCTCTGGGTGCTTTCTACTTTACTACTAATGTTCTTTCTAAAATGCTCACCCAAATTCTGTATATTACCATCAAACCTAACACACTGTATTGAGCCTTTGTTAGTGCTCACATCATTGTGTTGCTCTGTGTATTAAAAGCACAAATTTTATAGCAATTACATGAAGATGACTGAAGGAGTAGGGCACGGGCCCCATATGCCGGAGGTGGCGGGTTCAAACCCAACCTCGGCCAAAAACTGCAAAAAAAAGAATTCCTGATAACTGTTCACTGTGGAATGTCTATAGATAAAATCTTGGTGAAGAAAGTAGTCCTCAGACACAGCATGTGTTGTGTGCTGTTGTGACTGCAACTCATAGCATAGAGATATTACGTGGCATTTATTCAATTATGGTCATAGAAAAAGTCCATTTGTTATTACTTCTTTTTTTGGACTATAAAAACCTAATAAACATGTAAATGAGCTCAAACTCTAACTGCTAAATTTGGCATTAAAGAACTTGGTATTAAATGAACACATAATTGCTTGTACTGAGCATTTAAAAACTAACTATGAATACACTTCAAGACTTAAGCATGTGAATGACTTAATTCACTCAATACTCACCTTGCACATTTAGCACCCTTTCCACATTCACATCAGACAGTCGCTTTTTCCGAAGTTCAGCTCGTATCCTGAACACTTGATCAGCATATGGAGTCACCACACCAATACTGCCGTCATCTAACTTCCCCCATGCTACCGGCCACTTCCTTCTTAATTCTTCTACACGTTCCACCACTTCAAACACCTTTAAACAAACACACATAGACACGTTAAAGTTATCGCCAATGTTCAGAGAAAAGGATATGGTAACTGAAATAGATATATAAAGGATCTCATTTTAGCAAATGCCATTTAAAAACTACTTGTATAAATGGGATACCACTATGCTAATGTGAACAGAGTAAGAATAAAAACTTTTAATCTACACTTTACACAGTAAAATTCTAAAATCATGCAACCAGTGAAAATAGGAAAATCAGAGATAAAGCAATTGGCCCCTTCCTCTCACCAGTCTCTCATTCTTAAATAGGGACAGACTCAAATTTCTGTGTAGGACAGAAGACAGAAAGACCAGGACCCACATCCCCAGGATGTCTCAGTCCAGTGTACTCTCTCCAGATCAGGCCAATGAAACCAATCAACCAACTAGAAGATTCCTGGAATCTGGGCCATTAGGTCTCAGAAATAAAAGGTATAAGCACTGCCCTCACCGACCAGCCAGCAGCTGACACCAAACCACAGCTGGGACTAGGCCAAATTTAGATCAGAGACACAGACTTTCAGAATTCACTGCCTTCAAGTGGTACAAGTTCAGCCAAACCATTCCATTAACCTTACAATAAAGTAATACCACATTTTACGCAAATGGATTTTTTGGATCCCATAATGACAGAGCTTAGGGTTTGGTCTACTCTAATTAAATGAATTTATCAAACATTTCCAATGTTTCGTATAGCAGAGGATACAAAGATTGATAAAACATGTTCCTTGCCTGTTACAAGATTACTGTCTATTTAGAAAAGAGTCACAATAAAATATATACGTAAGGCAAGCACAGTACAAGGTCAGTCAAGATTCCATATTTGATGGAAAATGCTGATCTATACATCCAAGCTCAATGAATTTCAACGAGGAAAAATTCAAAGAGATCTGTCCCCAGACACATCATAGTCAAAAAGCCAAAAGTAAAAAGTAAAAATAAAAAATAAAATAAAAAATAAAAAAAAAGTAAAAATAAAATCTTGAAACCACAAAGAGATAAACAACTCTTGACTTAAAATGCAATTCCATTAAGATTAATAGATTTTTTTCACTAGAAACAACAGTCTAGAAAGCAGTGGGAAACATTTTTCAATGTGCTGAAAAAAGAAAAACTAAACCAATAATATTCCACAAATCTCTCTCTCAAAAATGAGGGCAAAATAAAGGCATTTCCAGATAAACAAAAACTAGGAGATTCCTTATTAGCAGACTCCTCTTACAAGAAATAATAAAGTAAGTTCTTCAAGCTGAAAGCAAGTGACACCAGTGATTCAAATCCACACAGAGGGCTGCTAAGGGCAATTAAGTAGGTAATTATAACAGTGTAACAGCGTACTTCTTTCTCCTCTTAACTGATTTTAAAAACAAATACATAAAACATATGTATATATAATTGTATTATTAGACTACAACATATACATATGTAATATATTTAACAATAACAGCACAAAGGAAATAGATGGAAAATGACACCAGATGGTAACACAAATCCACAGAGAGCAGTAAAAAGAATCAGAAATAATAAAGAAGATTAATACAGCAAACTCTACAAATACGTACTTGTCCCTTCTTTCAGAATTTCTGAAGACATAAAATTATATAAATAATTACAGAAATGTTTTGTTGAGTTTGTAATATATATAAATACATATTTACACACCTAGAGGTTTAATGTATGTAATAATAATAGCAGAAAAAGGGAGGAAGGGAATATAACTATGTAGTTTCAATGTACAAAGCTCATTGGAATTAAGTTAGTATAAATTCAAAGTAGATTCTGATAAGTGACGGTGTATATCATAAGCCCCAGAGCAGGGGTCCTCAAGCTTTTTAAATAGGGGGCCAGTTCACTGTCCCTCAGACCCTTGGAGGGCCAGACTGCGGGCCCTGGGACAAGCTGGCTGCTAAGCAGGACAGACAGCGGTGGCAAAAACACCCGGCGAGCCAGATAAATGTCCTAGGTGGGCCACATGTGACCCGTGGGCCATAGTTTGAGGATGCCTGCCCTAGAGAAACCACTAAGGCAACAACTCAATTATATCATTGAAAAAATAATTAAAGGAATTAAAAATGTGACACTAGGCTCGGCGCCTGTGGCTCAAGCAGCTAAGGTGCCAGCCACATACACCTAAGGTGGCGGGTTCGAATCCCCAGCCCGGGCCCGCCAAACAACAATGATGGCTGCAACTAAAAAATGGCCGGGCGCTGTGACGGGCGCCTGTGGTCCCAGCTACTTGGGAGGCTGAAACAGGAGACTCGCTTGAGCCCAGGAGTTGGAGGTTGCTATGAGCTGTGATGCCATGGCACTCTACCCAGGGGGATAGCTTGAGGCTCCGTCTCAAAAAAAAAAAAAAAAGTGACACTAGAAAATATGCACTTAAAAAATACAAGAAAGAGGAAAAAAGCAAAGTTAAATCCAACCATATAGGTAATAGCATTAAATGTGAATGGATTAAATAATCCAGTCAAAAGGCAGAGATTTTTCAAGCTAGATTAAAAAAAAAAAGAAAGAAAGAAAAAAAGCAAGATCTAATGACATAATGCCTATAGGAGATACACTTCAGCTTCAAAGGTATAAAGAGGATGAAAAATATATATGCAAACAGCAACCATAAACAAGCTAGGATGGTTATACCAACATCTAATGAACTGACTTTAAACCTCCCCAAAAGTGTTACTGAAGAGGGACATTTTGAAATGATAAAAAGGTCAATTCATTAGAAAGATATACCTAACAATTATAAACATACATATAATTATACATTCTCCTACGAGATAAGGCAAAATCATGCTTTCCTCCATACCTCAGTTCTCACCAAACCTGATGGATTCTTTTTTCGTGTCTACAGGACTCTGTCTACCTCTCACATCATGTTATCTTATGCTTATATGTTTCCATAGCTCGTCCCTTCAGGCTGAATTTCTCAAGGTTAAGAATCATGTCTTGGTGCTCAGTATTTATGGGTTTTGTCCAACTTGACATTAAATTAAAATCATGATTATTGAGATACTAATTCAGAATCAAGATAAAAGAATGATCTTTCTCAGTCTCCTACCATTTTAAGCATGTGAAGAAAAGACACAAGTTCAAATGATATACAAAGCACATGATGTACAAGCGCAAGCATATACAAAGAACATCTTAAAATATGTTCCCCAAACAAAGGAGAACTATACACAGCAAAAATGCTGTGAGTGTTCAGGTTTTTAAATTTCATTTTTAATTCTAACTTTTAAGTTTATTTTTATTTTAATGCTGTATAAGAATATCTAACCTTTTTTTGTTTAGATTTTCTTTCTGAGACAGAGTTTCACTTATTAACCCTCGGTAGAGTGCTGTGGCTTCGCAGCTCACAGCAACCTTCAACTCCTTGGGCTTAGGTGATTCTCTTGCCTCAGCCTCCCAAGTAGCTGGGACCACAGATGCCCGCTACAATGCCCAGCTATTTTTTGTTGTTGTTGTTCCAGTTTGGTCAGGGCAATATCTTACTTTTATAACAATGAAATCAAAAAGCAGTAAATTTTACTCAGAATCTTCACAAAAAAAGAGATCTCATTTTTCCTCTGTCAGTGTAGCTGGTGCCACCTGCTCTGCTCTATAACACAAAGTAGTTACTTAAATAACACAAAGTATTCAAGACTTCCAAAATGTTTTACTGTCCAGATATGCCTATACTGGCACCCAAACTTCAAATTGCCTACACTGGTATTTGGCTCAGTTCAACAAGAATTGGCTTTCACGGCTCCGCGCCTATAGCTCAACCGGCTAAGGCGCCAGCCACGTACACCTAAGCTGTCGGGTTCGAATCCCCAGCCCGGACCCGCCAAACAACGATGATGGCTGCAACCAAAAAATAGCCGGGCGTTGTGGCGGGCGCCTGTGGTCCCAGCTACTTGGGAGGCGGAGGCAGGAGACTCGCTTGAGCCCAGGAGTTGGAGGTTGCTGTGAGCTGTAATGCCATGGCACTCTGCCCAGGGGGACAGCTTGAGGCTCTGTCTCAAAAAAAAAAAAAAAAAAGAATTGGCTTTCACCCCTTGTAGAAAGAACCCCTGAAGCAACGTGTCTCAGAATTGTTGACTATAGTAACTCCTGGGGCTGAAAAGAGTGATTGAACAACTATGTTCTGATAAACTTCAAAGTGGCTTGTAATTTTTCCAAAGTTATATATTTAATAATTAAAGGTCACATAAGTATTGCCTTTGTGTTTTTTTGATACAAAAAAAATGTATTTTTCCAAAAATTTTGGGAGTAAGATTCACAGTCTGGGAAGATGTGCCTTATTTATCCTACCTATCGCTTATAATAAGGTTTCTTAGGCAAAACCCCATATAACTGTGAAGGAAGCCTGGGGCAAACATCATCCCTGCCTCAAATCAGGTATTAAGACTCCTCTCTAATCCCTGAGGGCCACGGAGGCTTCTGGATTTCAGGCCCTCCCACCACCATGGCTGGTTTCCAGGCCAGTGACTCCCAACCTGAGTGTAAAAATAGTAAAGGAGACCCCTAGAGTTATTTTCAATATTTCAAATTTTTTTCATAAGTTTACCTTTTCCTAAAGTTAAATGGCACAGACCAAAATGTCAAGTTTCTTTGCTTTGAGCTAGGATTTTATCAAGTAAGTACTAATGGTTTTCCTGTACTAACTTATAACTACAGGCCTCTGATCAATTTTTTTAAAGGAAAAATGAATTCCTACTATGTGATAAAAGCAATTTCTTCGAAAATAAGATGGGTAAAGCATGGCATTTAAGGGCAGCGGAGATGAGAGATCGAGAACCACTCCCCCCACGATCAGGATCAGCCAGACACTCCTCTCTTCAGGTTTCCTGAAGTCCAGAACTCCACCGCCTTCTGACAGCCAGAACCTTAACCCCCGGCTTTCTGGCCTGCCAGCTCCCAAAGACTGCCATTTTTTTGGTCTTCTGCCTGATTTGAACCTTCATACTACCCAAGTTCTGTCTGAACTTAAAAAACAAAAACCATAAGACAACTGTGTAAGCTGGAGCACATAATGGGAGAGCAGCACCGCCGTCTGGGTCTGTGTGATCTCTGTGGAGCACGGGATTCTGTAATTCCAATCTTACTCATTTAAAAGGATACCTGATTTGGGTATGCACTGTAAACTTTTACAGAGCTTATTTTAGATACCTAAGGATAAAGATTTATTTAAGAAGGCTGTTGGCTTTTCTTTTAAATGAAATCATGTACTTTTGCATTTTATCATAAGACAAAAAGTAAATCAAAGTTTTTGTTTCCCACAGGAGATTCATCTTAACGAATCGATGTTATACACCAAAGAATAAATTTTACAGACTATTTTCATGCAAATGAAGTCAACACACAGTAAAATGTCAACCCAACATTTTAAATAACTGCTCAATAAAAGCAAACCATGTGACCGAGAAAATGTTAACAATTTGAGAAAAAGAAAAACAACTGAGGTACCTCTGCATTATTATAAAAAGCTGTACTATTTTTTTCTTGTACATCTTCCCCTCGTGCTGTAAAGAAAGTGAGTGGGTAGAAATCCTTGTGTGCTGGCTGCTTTCCACTGGCCATCAATTTGCCCTCATAGAAAAGCTCAGAGGTGTAACTGCAAAAGAAAGACAAAAATAACAGCAGTAATTTATCATCAAAATTAATTTCACCTATAAGAAAAAAGTCAATTCTAATAATATTGTTTTATGGCCATGATTAATTTTAGTCCAAATAACTGATACTTATGATGCCAAGAATTTATCCAAAAATAGCCATAGCAATAACAACAGAGTAAGCTCTGGGTTTAACACTGTTAAGTGGATTGATTTTTTTTTGGGGGGGGGGGGAATTGATTGTGTTAAGTATGAAGCTAGAATACAGGAAGAAATGATGACAGTTCAAAACTAGAAGAGAACTTTGCTCTATGAAAAAATTTTCCACCATTATATTTTCTTGGTTAATGCCAATTTTTATTTTCATGGATCTTAGGCAGACATGTACCACACAATGTTCAACAACAGACCACCCATACAAAGGTGATCCCATAAAATCTTATCATAAGACAAACCATACTACCGTGTTTTTACTGTATCTTTCCTATGTTTAGATATGTTCAGATAAGCAAATATTTACCACTGTGTTACAACTGCCTGCAATACTCAGTACAGTAACCTGCTGTACAGGTAGGAGCCTAGGAGCCATAGCCTAGGTATATATTAGTTCAGGCCATCTAGGTCAGTGGAACTAAGTATGCTTTATGACAGGATGTTTACAGGACAAAAATCACCTAATGACACATTTCTCAGAACACATCTGTCAATAAGTGACTGTCATTACCGTACTCAGACATGCAAACACAGATATTGACACACTGCACACAGCTGAAAGACAGTGAAGCCTTCAACTGAAAACTGAATCCACTTTACTGATAAAGATCCCAGCTAGTGCTTATCACTGATTGCAGCAAATGATTGGCAACAATAAAAGAAGAGTCATATTTTGAGACATTGATAAAGTTATATCTACCCAGGTGTTTGCAGAGAAACCTAAAGTGGTTTTCATATGACTGATATAATATTATTAAATTATACTAATTTTATTTATTTATTTACTTATTTATTTTGAGACAGAGTCTCAAGCTGTTACCCTGGGCAGAGTGCCATGGCATCACAGCTCACAGCAACCTCAAACTCTTGGGTTTATGAGATTATCTTACCTCAGCCCCCCAAGTAACTGGGACTACAGGCACCTGCCACAATGCCTGGCTATTTTTTTTTTTTGTTGTTGTTGTAGTTGCCATTGTTGTTTTAGCTGGCCTGGGCCGGTTCAAACCTACCAGCCTCGGGGTATGTGGCCAGCTCCCTACCCACTGAGCTACGGGCTCTGCCAAATCATACTCATTTTTTTAAAGTGTAAGTACGGTGGGGGTAGTGACTAGAAAGAGGTGGAAAGAGACTTTCCAAAAGATTGGGAATGTTCTGTTTCTTGATCTGGATGCAGGTTACATGGTGTGCTTAGGTTGTGACTATCCATCAGCTGCCATTTATAATATGCTCATGTTACAGATGGATACTGTATTTACTAGAAATCTTCTAAAGACTTATTAAGACTTATTAATAAGTTTCGTGGTTTTGCTCTCTTTCTTCTTTCCTTTCTTCCTTTCCTTTAGAACACGTTCCTTGCACCTGTACATATAACAGCCACAGACATATACGCAAGCCATTATATTCTGGGGACTCCATCTATTAGAGCATATAGTTTTTCATACAGATTACAATTTTAGTCATGGAAAAATAATGTCATAGCTAATGGAACCTATTTGTGAAAAATTACAACCCTGACCTTTGAAGTGGTCTTTTTTTGGTGGGCAGGGTCTCTTCACTTGCTCAGGGTGGAGAGCAATCTGGAACCATGGCTCACTGCAGTTTTGAGCTCTTAGGCTCAAGCAATTCTTCTGTACCAGCCTCCCAAGTAGCTGAGACCAGAGGCACACGGCACCACACCCAGATAATTTTTCTATTTTTATTTGTTTATTTATCTATCTATTGATCTACCTAGCTATCAATTGACTGACTGAAGAGATGGGGTCTGGCTATAGCCCAGGCTGGTCTCGAATGCCTGAGCTCAAGCAATCTATCCACTTCAGCCTCCCAAAGTGCTAGGATTACAGGCATGAACCACCATGCCAGCCTGAAGTGATCTTTTATAGGCATAAAATTTAACACATCCAATTAATGGTATCTAGAAAAAACAAATGAATTTTTTAAAAAGTTTTAATTGAGTATAACTTGCACCACTAGAGGGACATCCTGTAACTCTGTTGGGAATAATCAGTCCCCAGTAAGAGTGTGGGTTTGAGTTCCCTCCCACCAGACCCCGGGCAGTGTGACGCACAGGGAGCAGTTCACACCTACTTGATGATAGCTTCATGAGAGCGGTAGTTCTCACATAAGAGGATCCTACATGGAAACTCAGCAGGGTAATGCTCATAGAGCCTATCAAGTAAGGAAACATGGAGGTTTCTCTCCCTGGCAAACTCGCTGTAAACAAAAGGACTGAGCTGTAACAGACAAACATATAGAGAAAATTTAACTAAATACACAATAGTATTTTTTAACCTACTTATAAAATGTCTGATATGTAAAAACTTCTGACATACTAAGACCTCTGCATGCTAAATGCTAGAGTGAGCAAAACCAATAATACCTTCTATGACCAATTTTACTACTATTAAGAATTAGGCTAAAATTTCTAACTTCACTGCTTTACAACAACCTAAACTTTATAGTTTCTATATACAGATTAATAAAGGGCTCCTCTACCAACAAAATGAATAGCTACTACTTCAATAATGACAGGATGTAACTCATTGCATCATTGGGCAAGTCCAAACAGTTGTTTCACTAAAATTGATCAATTATCTGGAATGATGAGTTGGTTAGACGCCCACACAGCCTATGACTTAAAGAATTATTTTTAACAGTTAACAAAACAGCCCTCTTGATGTCAAAGTATAAGGAGCCATGGTCTGTTATGCCTTTTACTGCTAAAGAACAAAATCAAACTAAGTTGGGCAAAGAAACAGAAACAGAATTTGTTCCTCTACCGTCAATTCTTTCCTAGATATCTTGACAGCTATAATGTTCAATCAACTATGGCAGAAGAGAAAGAATCCAAAATTGCAACTTTATAAAATAGATCTTAATAGAAAAAATTGTATTTCTCTTTCTTCCTTAGCAGTATTCAAACACACAGACGCTTATATATTCTTTAAGCTTTTTACTGTAATTTTTAATCAAGCCCTCTATTTTCTATGATATCAAACATTGACCTTTCAGAAAAATAAATATTAGAGACAGAGTTGATAAATTATAGAAAGAATTGTTTAAATGCTGTCATATAAAGAATCAGATATTCATACTAGAGAGAACGGAGCTTCAAGTTAATAAACATAAAAACCGTAGCACTGATGGGCTCTCAATCTCTCCAACTATCTCTCCAAAGAAAACAGAGTCGAGGGGATAGTCATTTTTCTTCAGAATATTAACAATTTTTACTGTTAGTACAGACCCATTTAAAGCACTTAAACTAAAATATACAGCACAATTTCATAGAGTGCTGAATAGAGAAAAGTAGAATATTAAACATCAAAATACAACTAAAAGTTACTTTCAATACAGTGACTCAGAGGGATTTACCTGCATGTGATCACCAGCCAAGACTATCCGAGTGTTTTTAGTTGCTAATGCTAGAGGCATAATGGTTTCACACTCCATGGCTTGGGCAGCTTCATCTAATAAAATATGGGTAAAAAACCCTAGAAAGTACAACGTAAACATAGTAAAGCCTATTACAACAGCAAAGAAGTACTGAGAAGTATTGTAGTTATTTTCCTTTCTGCTAAGGAAACAGTTTAGTTCTCTAATCTGAGTTGTGAATGCTTTCAACACCTATCCTCCACTTAAGACAATGTCCATTTTAATCAGCATTTTAAAAACAGAAGTTAAAAAGAATAATTATTTTAGTCAATAAAAGATAAATGCATGTGGTGCCAAGAGCCCAAAGACGAATTGTTGAATCAGCATATACAGAAAAGATTTCTAAAGCACAAGAAAGGAGTTTTTGACCAAAAGAGGACAACTAAACACCGACAGCCCCAAAGCCCTTTGGCTATTTATTTGGAAAAACACCATGTATAAATAAATGGTATTATGGTTCATAAACAGCTTTGCCCTAAACACACATATCAGAAATTTAGATAAAGAAAATCATACCCCAAATCTAACAATATAAAGGAGAAAATGATAATCAAACTTGGACCTGTTAAATCTGAGTGTAGAATATACATGTCTTAACATAATAACTAAGAAAATGCGGTGAAGGCTATGTTAACCAGTTGCATGAAAGTATTTCAAACTGTATATAAAACCAGCACATTGTGCCCCATAATTACATTAATGTACACAGCTATGATTTTATTTAAAAAAAAAAAAAACTTGGACCAAAGACAAAGAGTATCTTATTATAATAGCAAATTCACTAATTTGATTGCTTAAGTTTATTTTACATATATACCATAAATATACATATAGTATATGGTTACATATGTACTATAAAAAATTACATAATTTCTTAGTCTAAGACGCTACCCTAATCTAAAAAGAAATTACTGTTCTTCAGGCTTGGCACCCGTGGCACAGTAGTTATGGCACCAGCCACATCCACCAAGGCTGGCAGGTTCATGCACCAAGGCTGGCAGGTTCATGCACCAAGGCTGGCAGGTTCAAGCCCGGCACAGGCCAGCCAAACAACGGCTGACAACTACAACAAGAAAACAGCCCCCCCTATTGCTAACTCACCAGGGTAAGAAGAAGGGGGCTCTCTCCTTTTTAGCATAGCAAACGATACAGAATAGTTTTTCAACAGAATGGAAAAGTTTTAAACTCTCTGGAGTCCAGTGGCAGTTGACTCGGGAACCTAACCTGTATTTCTATCCTTATTTCTACCTCTATGAGTATCAGAAAGTTCCAGACAATCTGCTTATACAACTTTCTAAAGCAACTTGTTTTGAGTTGAGAACTTCTAAAATCTTACTGACTGGCATAATAACCATCAGCATCATCCATTCAAACAAATGGCTATGGCTAAAAGTACCAATAACCAGTGTAGAATTACCAACAGTGGCCCAAACATGATACAGACGCATGCATTTTTCTCCCTGCTGAGGAGAATTTGTACTTTTGTTCTACAAGACTAATTAAAGAAAATGATTACCTAAAAAGGATCAAACTGGAAAAACTTGGACATGGAGAGAATCTGTTTTCCTAAGATAAAATTTTAATTAAATAGAGCTAGGCTTGCATCAAGAACTGGATAAATCATGAAATTGGTATGATATCACTTAAGCTAAAAAAGGTAACTTAATCAGACTGACTTAGCCTGAGCCTTCGTTTTCCCATCTGTAAAATAAACTTCCACAGGGTTGATATGAGAACTAATGAAATCAACTATAAACAACCTTCGGAACAAAGGAACTAGTTGACTTCTAATAAGTATCATTCTAACCTCTAGCTTTGCAAAGGCATTCTTTACTCTGTCTCACAAAACTATACTATTAGAGAAGGCTTTAGATTCTAATCTCCGTGGCCAATATGCAGAGTATAATCATCAAGTAATGAGACTGATTGTTAAATAAACATACCAAAATTTACATTTCAAATAACTGTTGTTCCATTCAAAGAAGTCACTTGGGATGAAATATAACTCATTCCAATGATGCTGCCACTGTTCAAAAACATTTCTGAAACTCTGCTTTTGTAACTGCCCTCACTAGCCAGCTCTGAGCTGCATGGACAAGAAAATAAATCTCATTACCTGAGAGGCACGTCTCCTTCCTTTTTAAACTCCTAATGGTATTGCTCAGTTTGATCGCCTATCTGATTCATCAGACATGTCTCAGAAAGATTGGGAAGCCTTTCTAAAATTAAATCTGCTCTCAACTTAAACAAAAAAAGTTTGGCCACCATTGCTTCATTTAAGATAAACACAAGTTTATCAAGGGCCCCCAGGTGTCTAGACCCTGGGCCAGGTGCCAGGAATACGAGGTGAAGAGAACACTCTCTACCTTCCAGGGACTCAGATGTTCAAAGGAATTTGTCATTGGCTCTCAAAGCAATTCCAAAAAGAGACAGCAAAAAAGTGTTGAGCAATGGCGATAATTATAACTTGGCAGTAATAGACAAATATTCTTCTAGAGCCGCTACTTTAAAGCTACACTACTTTTATGGTTATGTTTCACCTTCTTGACCAAAACAACCTATTATCTTACATCTGTAAGTTCCCAGAACATTAGTTTGATTTTACATAGTTCCTGTACTTAAATATAAATATAAAAATCCTACCACGATTCTCGTCTCTATACCATCTAATGCAAAAGCATCTATCACAAAAACTTGAGAAAACTGTGAAAAACACCAACACTGTCCAAATTTGAATTCTTCGCATGATCATAAATACTACCTGATGAATTAGAGAACAAATGGAATAGCAGTCACTAAAATGTTTAAACTACGAGCTGGCAGATTTTTTTTTTCAGTAAAGGGCCACACCATATAAATGCATATATACGTGGGCCATGTAGTCAATCTCTGCTGCAATAGCTCAACTCAGCTATTGTAGCCTGAAAGCATCCACAGACAATGAACAGCTAACTACATGGGCAGGGCTATGTTCCACCCAATAAAACTTTATTTACAAAAACAGAAAGCAAACAGATTTGGCCTGTAAGGTACAGTTTGCCCACCCCTAGTCTAAACTGAATTCATAAGCCCTGAACTTGTTGAGACACCATGTGTCCTGAGTCAGCATACCAGGTTCAAGGTCCAATTGACAGAGGTACTGGGAAGTGTTCAACGTAACAACAACCACTCGATGTTTAAGAATATCTTCTTTCTGTGGCATCTGAAAGGTGGAATGTGCACTTGAGATCAAACAGTACTGATGCACAACTGGGTGGACAGTCTTTACCCAGCGATTTCTGAAATATACCCTATAAAAGAAGATAATATACATATTTCTGATTTACATTTATCAATACCTTTAATAGTATACAATAATTTAAATACTAACATTATTTTAAGACATCATTATCTAGAAATGAACAAATCTGATAACCATTATTAATACTCTACTTGAATAGAACTTAATAGACAACTGTCACTATATTCACTGTAACTTCCCCTCCCTACAAAATAAAATTTAAACAGAAAGTACATGCGCTACCACAAAATAAATATCTAGTTATTTTTAAGTGTTCGTGTTAATCTTGCAATAGAATGACACATAAACATAAATTTCATAAGCATCACATTTTTTTAAGTTCAAAACCTTTCCATTTTGGAATCGCATTTTTCTAGAATTTTCTTACAGAAATAAACTGAATGCATAGTTTAATGATTTGTGCTAATAAAAAATAGTGAATTGCGTACTTATATAGAAATTCGAAGGTTATTTACATTTTGCTTTAGAATATATTATAACTATACTTAAACATACCAAGGTTCTAGAACTTTAAAAACAAATTTAAATTGTGATCAGAAAATCTTTAACGTGCATCTCTTCCATTAAATGAAAAAGAAAAATACTAATAGGCTTCATGCAATGGATTACTAAGATAGTATAGAAATGACTCGCCCGTCCATCCACCTACACAACCATCTCTAATTCACTCTTACACCTAAGATTTTGGGGGCAGCTACCATGTTCCAGCATAGAGGCAGATCACACAGGACTTGTCAGTAACCATAAATTTAGCCTTTGGCTTTACTCTGAAAACCATCAGAAAGCTCCAACAGGGCACTTCTATGACATGACTTACGCTGTTGAAGGATTAGTCTGTTTCTCTGGGCAGAATATCTAGGGGTACAGGCATGAACGGTGATGTGCTGGCACATGTTTAACAACTGGTTAGGAGACAGGGGACAGGCGGGGTTTGTATTGTTTGCTGATTTCTATGGTGTGAAACTACTATCATGGCTGATTCCAAGCTACAGCATGATGTCACATGCACATCATCAGCTGTTACAAGACGGTACAAGTTGGTTCCAACACACCACTGAGGACGATAAATGTTGGAGCAGGAGTGGAAGCAAAGAGACCAGGTGGGGGTTTATTATAAGAGAAGACTGGCGGCTGGGAGTGGGGTGGTATTACTAGAAAGGTGGGAAAAGGTCAGATTCACTAGACGTTTTGAGAGTAAGGCCGGCAGAATTAATGATGAACTAGATGTAGCATTTAAGAGAAAGGGTGATTGTATGCTTTTGAAACTAGGATTGATGGTAATGTTTACAAAGGCGGTGATAGAGAGAAATCAATTTGGAGTGGGAATTGGGATTATCTTCAGTTTTGGAGCTATTCAGTAGACATCCAAGTGAAGATCTCCATTAAGCAGGGTGGTATGTCAGTTTGGAGTCTGGGAGACCGCCTGGGGCAAACTATGTACCATGGGGTAATACTAAACCTCCGACTGGCTAGGCGCCCGTAGCACAGTAGTTACAGCGCCAGCCACATACACTGAGGGTAGTGGTTTCGAACCCGGCCCAGGCCAGCTAATCAACTGCAACAAAAAAATAGCCAGGCATTGTGGCAGGCGCCCATAGTCCCAGCTGCTTACTTGGGAGGCTGAGGCAAGAGAATAGCTTAAGCCCAAGAGTTGGAGGTCGCTGTGAGCTGTGACGCCACAGCACTCTACCAAGGGTGACATAGTGAGATTCTATCTCAAAAACAAAGTAAAATAAACCTTGGACTGGATGAGATCATCTGGAGAATAAGAGCAGACAAAAACACAAGTAGAAAGCAGAAAGACTGAAGGATCACCCCAACATTTCGGGGCCAAGGAGAGACGAGGGATCCAGTAACGGAGACTGGGAAGGAGCAGTCAGCGAAATAAGAGAGAACTCAGGAGTGTCTGGGATGTTGGAAGTAAAATGAAGACAGTATTTCAGAGAGAATAGGAGTCACTGTGCCCAGTGCTGCTAAGGTGAGTAAAATGGGGCTTGACCACGGGACGGAGCAACAATAAAACCAACACGATGACCTCAATATGACAGTTTTACAGTAAAAGTAGAGATGGAAATCTTGTTAGCTTGAGCTCAAGAGAGGAAGTAGGGGCAAGGAGTACTACTTATCAACAACCAAGCAGAAAAATTCTGCTTATGCAGATGGGGTCAAGGTAAGTCTTTGGTTCTGTTTTTTCAAATAACAAACTATATTTGTATGCTGAAGAGAGAAAAAAGAAGGGAGGAGAGGAGAAGGTGAACAGAGGAAAGGAAGAGAGCTCATTCACAAGTAGAGGAGGAGGCCTTAGCAGGGAGCAAGGACAGCTGGAAGGTCCAAGTCAGACAGATCTGTCCAAGGGAAACTGTGTGTGACCCTAGCACTCTGGACGGCCAAGGCAGCCAGATCACTCGAGGCCAAGAGTTTGTGAGACCAGCTTGGGCAACATAGCAAGACCCTTTCTCTACAAAAATTATAAATAAAAAAATACCCTGGCATGGTGGTATGCATCTGTCATCCCAGCTACTCAAGAGGCTGAGGTGGGAGGATTTATTTAGGAGTCTGAGGTTGCAATAAGCTATAATGACACCACTGTACACTAGCCCAGCCTCCCAGAGTGCTAGGACTAAAGGAATAAGTCAGTGTACCCCACCTAGTTTATGTATTTTTTAATTTACATAACGTGTATGTTTCATGCATTTCATACATATAATTTAGGAGAATGTCAGTAAACATCAGGGGAAACTGCTAAGAGAGTCAAAGGTGCTTGCCCTTAGAATGCATGTTTGGTGGGCAGTAGCCTAGGTAAAAAAAAAAACAAATTTTCGCTAGCAACTTTAAAATACAACATGACCTTTTATAATATTGTATGTATGTGAAAGTACAAATCTAAAACAACAGCGATCTAATTATACTCATTATAGAGAAAAACATTGGTAATGTTTGAATTTAACCTTACTTATCAATGACTTTTTAAAATCTAATTAAAATTCTCTAGTTTCTCCCCCTTAAAAAGAACCTTCACTTTCCTCATCTTCTTCATCCACTGCCCAATCTCTTCTCAGTACTAGTCGTTGCCCTCTCCATTACCAACCCCCCTACTCCCTGCTTTGAGGATTCAACTGGCTTCACCACCATCCAATCAAAGGACGTAACTTCCACGTCACTAAATCAGGTGGGCAAACGCTGGCCCATGGCACCAGCTCTGTCGTTGCTCCCTTCCAGCACACCCCCTTCCCTCACTTCCATGACTCTACGCCCTTCCTAGCCTTCCTCTCCAGCTCTCTCCTGTCCCTGAGAACCTGACAATCTCGTCCCTGTGCACGGATTCAATCACCACCAATGCCCTGGTGACACACATTTCCTCACCTCGGCGCCCAACAATGCATGTCCCTCAAGGCAGTTTCCAAGGCAGCTCGAAGGTTAAAATACAAAACATAATCTCCTGATCTTCTCCAATCTGTTCTAATCCTCCATGAAACACTTAAAACAAGCTTTGATGCCACTGCACTCCAGCCTAGGTGAAAAGCAAGACCCCAATACCAAAACAAAGGGGAAACTACAGGCCAGTACCTCCAAGAAACAATGTATGCAAAAATCCTCAATAAAATACTAGCAAACTGAATCCAACAGTAACATGGAAAAGATAATTCACCACAATCCAGTGGGCTTCATCCCAGAGATGCAAGGACAGCTCAACATACACAAGTCAATAAATGTGATTCACCACAAACCCGGAATTAAAAACAAAAACCATAAGGTCATCTCAATAGATGCAGAGAAAGTATTTGATAAAATCCAGCATCCCTTCATGATAAAAAAAAAAAAAACCTTCAAAAAACTCAGCCTAGAGGGAACATAACTCAAAATAATAAAAAGCATATTTTGGGCTCAGCGCCTGTGGCTCAAGTGGCTAAGGCACCAACCACATACACCTGAGCTGGCAGGTTCAAATCCAGCCAGGGCCCGCCAAACAACAATGACAGCTGCAACCAAAAAATAGCCAGGCGTTGTGGCAGGCACCTGTAGTCCCAGCTACTTGGGAGATGGAGGCAAGAGAATCACTTGAGCCCAGGAGTTGGAGGTTGCTGTGAGCTGTGATGCCACGGCATTCTACCCAGGGTGACAGCTTGAGGCTCTGTCTCAAAAAAAAAAAAGCATATTTTGACAAACCCACACCCAACATCATACTGAATAAGGGAAAGTTGAAAGTATCTCCCCTAAGAAACGGGAGAAGACGAGGATGCCCATGTTCACCACTTCTATTTAGCAGCGGTACTCTTAAGTCTTACAGAGCAATCAAGCAAGAGAAAGAAGCAAACGAGAGTGGAGAAAACGGAAGTCATATTATCTCTGCTTGCTGATGATACAATCTTACACCTAGATTTAATAAATAAATTTAACAAAGTCTTAGGTTATAAAATCAACTAAAAAATCAATAGCATTTTTATACAGGGTGACCATAAAGTTCGTGTAGGTTTTATACAGAGTGACCATAAAGTTTGTTCGACCATAAATAGATAACTAGGCCCAGCGCTCATAGCACAGTGGTTACGGCGCCAGCCACATGCACCAAGGCTGGCAGGTTCAAGCCCAGCCCAGGCCAGCTAACCAACAATGACAACTGAAACAAAAACAAAATAGCCGGGCATTGTGTTGGATGCCTGTAGTCCCAGCTACTTGGGAGGCTGAGGCAAGAGAAATCCTTAAGCCCAAGAGTTTGAAGTTGCTGTGAGCTGTGACGCCATGGCACTCTTAGGGAGACATAGTAAGACCCTGTCTCAAAAAATAAATAAAAAATTAAAATAAAAAAATAAAATAGATAACTATACCTGTATACCAATAGTGACCAAGCTAAGAACCAAAGCAAGATCTCAACCTCATTTACAATAGCTGCAAAAAATAAAATTAAAAAAACAAAACAATACAATCCCTAGGAATAAATTTAAGAAGAACTATAAGGATGACACGAATGGAAAAACATCCTATCCTGCG